CTGAGCACTTGACATGTGGCTGGTGTGGCTAGGGAACTGAATTTTTAGTTTTATATAAATTAAATTTACAATTAAATAACCACATGTAGTTAATGGCTACCATGTTGGACCATGCAGCTCTAGATGTCAGGAAAGGCTGAGTACTACATTATCTCATAAATTCCTTGCAATGAATTTAAAACATCAGCACTTCAAGGAGTTTGCCTAAATGTAACATTTTCCTGTGTCTTTACACATTCCAAATCACAAGGGGGGGAAACTTACGAACAGTCTTTTCCATGGAATACACACAGTGGAACTGCTGTGTACGTCTGTCGTTTTGATTCATTCTGCCAGCTCCATTCTAGCAGAAAAAACTCTGAATAATAATACTGAAGCAGGTACAATATAACTTGGGCATTATATGCTGTCAACATTAAGTCCAGATTTAAACTTTATGCTTACTAGAAAATAAAAAGCAAACTCTCCTTACCCTTTTCCTATTGAGGTCCAATTCAGGTCTTAAGTTCCATTTACATAATACTGAGGCACCTAGTACAGAGATGGGCATCTAGTAGGAGAGACCAGTATGTAAAAAACGTATCCGTCCATCCAACTATTTACCTATCTATCCAATCATCTATCCATCCATCCACCCATCCATCCATCCATCCATCCATCTTCCCATCCATCCACCTATCTTTCCATCTATCCATCCATCCACCCAGCTATGTACTCCCACAAATCTATTTACTAGCTCAAAAAGAATAGCTTTTCTCTCATTTACCCAAATATGAGAGCTTAATAGAAACAATTAAGAAGCAGGTGACTGTGTGATACATTTTTACAAGTGTGCTGTCAGGGCCGGCCCCGTGGCTTAGCGGTTAAGTGCGCGCGCTCCGCTACTAGCGGCCCGGGTTTGGATCCCAGGTGCGCACTGACGCACCGCTTCTCGGGCCATGCTGAGGCCGTGTCCCACATACAGCAACTAGAAGGATGTGCAGCTATGACATACAACTATCTACTGGGGCTTTGGGGGAAAAAAAGGAGGAGGATTGGCAATAGATGTTAGCTTAGAGCCGGTCTTCCTCAGCAAAAAGAGGAGGATTGGCATGGATGTTAGCTCAGGGCTGATCTTCCTCACAAAAAAAAAAAAAAAAAGTGTGCTGTCAGATGAATTCCAAAAAGGGGGAAGAATAATAACAATGAGAAGAAAATTATGCATTAACTAACCATAATTTTAATTAATCAATATTTATTGATCACCCATTTGGTACAAGGAACCATGTGAGGCACTGTTAAGATATAAGAATGTATAAGAAATATCCACTCTCAACATTTTTATAATCTACTTCAAAAGTTAAAATAATGAATATAGGAGAGGCTAAAAAAAGACCAATGAGTAAAATACTTCAAAACAGCAAGATGAAAGATGTCACAAGATAATTCATGTCTCAGATAATAAGCCTCATGTTTAGAAGAGAGCAGGAAATTTGGGCTAGAATGGTCCAAATTAGGGCTTTAAAGAGAAGTCTTAAGCCAGATTCTGAATGATAGGCAAGATGACAGATAAAAATCAGAAGCTTTTAAAATTTAGAGGGACCTTAGAAATAATCTAGCTCAAGTCTATTATCTTACAGATGATTCAACTAAGGTCAGAAAGTTAAGCGACTTGGTCCAACTCCCTTATATGGGTAGTAATGGCAGAAAAAAGCCTAAAATGCAGGGCTGTTGATGCCTATTCCAAGCCCATAACATCACATGTGATGGGGAGGAAAGCTTTTCTAGTTAGGAAAGCAGAAAGCATTCTGGAGAGAGGGTGGGACACAGCATAAGCAAGGAAGCAGAGTCAGGAACTCATCAGTGTAACCATTGTGTTATGAGGACTTCAGTGTGTGTGTAAGGGGAAGAAAGCACGGAAGGAGAGGGATGGTGGGGACCAATAGTGAAGGGGCTTGAACGCAAATCTGTAATTGGTCAGCTGTGTGAAACCCAGAATTCTGGATTCTGGGACTGCCTTGAAGTCTCCCTTCGGTGGCAGCAGTATAAACTTTTTTAGAAAAATGTTATTCTTTTCATATTAACAAAGACTCAAGTTCCCCTGGGGAAGGGAAGAACTGCAGAAGGGAGGTTGGGATGAGCACTGGCATTGCTGGTCAACCTACAGGGAGCAGGGTGGATGATTATCACCACACTCGTTCATACCTCAGAAACTCTGAGTCAGTGGATTTTGGATGGGGGCTAGGAATCTGTATATTTTTAAAGCTCCCCAATGATTGTAATGATCATCCTGTTTGGAGGGTCTTCTGGTTCACCCTTTTACCAATCTATCAAATACAGACTACCACTTTGGAAAACTCTTTGAGAATATTTACTAAATATATGCCCCCTATGACCCAGCAACTCCACTCCCAGGTACATACCTAAGAGAAATAAACACTTATGTTCCCCAAAAAGCATAAATAAGAATATCCAGAGCAGGTTATTATCAACCCCAAACTGGAAACAACCCAATGCCCGTCAGTATTAGAAGGGATAAATAAACTGAGGCATAGTCATACAATGGAATACTACACAACAATTAAAAAGAACAAACCATTGCTATGTGTACCAATATGGATGACTGTCATAGACATAATGATTAGCATGAGAAGTATGATTCCATTTACATGAGATTAAAGAACTGGCAAAAATAATCTATGGTAATTGAATTCAGACTAGTGATTGCCTCTCTGTGGGGCTGAGTATTAACTGGAAACAGGCATAAAAGAAACTCCTGGGGTGCTGGGACTGTTCTATATCTCCATCTGGGTGGTGGTCATGTTGTCATATAGACATATGTAAAAACATATTGAAGTGTACCCTTGTTCAGTTTACTGTCTATCAATTATAGCTTGTTGAGAAGAAAAAATATAGATATTGTGTGTGTGGATGTATATATATATATATATATACACATATTTGCCTTGCCAATCTCATGAGGTTGTTATAAGACTCCCATAGCTTTTAAAAATGAAAAAAATAGATAAGTACAGTCTTATCTTATTTCACTAGCTCAATATCTATTCTTGCTGAAATTGGTTAGATCACTGCCTGTGATTCAGGTGATCCACCAGCTTTTTTAAGCCTTAGCAAAACACAAAAAGTTAGTTATATGGAAGGTGATAGTAATTTCTGAACTTAGGAAGGACATGCAGTAGCTATAAACTTACTGAGAACACACCAGAACTGCCAAAGGGTGCAACCTGGCTCTTGCAAGAGCCTTTCTGCTGATGGTGAATTTGGTCTGCTTTGAGACTCTGGAGAACACTTCCCTGCAGCAGCATCTTTACATTCCACACCCTCACTTTCCTCTCTGCCCCCCTCCCTCCCCAAGAAGACAGTAAACACCATCTGTACCACTGCACTCACCAACCCAGAGACCAAAATCTCATCTTCCCATCAAGAAAATTACCCTCACCCTGAGGTGCCCTCGGCCATTGGTAACGAGCCACAGACCTTCTGCCAGCTCCAAAGTTTGCCTGCCCTGAATCAACACGTGAAACTGCCTGTGGTGGTTAGTACCTGGTGGGCAAATGGTCAAGGTTAGAGCAGGCTGGAGGTGAGTGGCGGGGATGGTGAAGCCCTGTCCACTTGGTGCGATATGCAAACCTCATTTCTGGGCTACTATTTTTCAATCTTTGAAAATGTCATGTGTGTTCGGCAGTGTACTTTAGGCAGCTAAGTATAACACATGTCTACAAATACTGATGACACTATCTTTATTTGTCTTTTACTAGACAAAGCCAGATCACCTGGGGACTGTTTGTTCCTCTACAAAATGAGAATCCAGCACCATATGTATTAAAATGTGGCACATTTTCTTCAAAGTATAAACTTTCAAGAGCTGCTTCTATGCCTTTCCCTGTACGCTCTCAAATCCTTATGTATCTTTAACACCATGACATACAGTTGATTTTAAAATAAAAATTTATAGTCTCTGGTTCATTGTACCAGCTTTTCTTAATTTGACCATATGGTCTATGATGTGTCTGGAGTCTATTCATTACTGTGTCCGATTTCTAGAGCTCAGAAGTACATAAGATACGTTCAGCAATTTGTGTGATCAACCTGCAGATACTGCCTGACTGGTTAACTCAAGCAAGTGTTTTTTACATGATAGACACTTGAGAAACGTTCAAAGAATGAACATGAATTTTTAAGATGAATAAATGTGAATTTTAAAGCAATATGTTCACTCTAAGACATGCAGTTCACAAATACATGTACTTCCCAGAATAAAACATTGTACTGGACTCCCCCCTGACAAAACCTCAAAGGAACTGGATATGGAAGTACATCAATAAAGATATTAAAATTAGAAATCAACTTTGAATGGAAGTTTCTCAAGAAAAAAGAATTTAAATAATGCTTGATTTCACTTAAGAGATACTTGGAAAAACCAGCTCACAAACTGTTCAGTTACGGAGAGCCAAACACAAAATCAGCTGTGAGAAAAGTTAAGCTGTCTGAGGAAAATGAGTTTCAAGGAAATGTTGCTTATTTTCTCCTCGTGGTTATTTCTGAAAAGCATAGTTTGAAATATAGGAAATAGGAAATGCAGTGGGACTTTTCTGTTCTCTGAAGACTCTGAATTGCTTCTAAGATACGTTTACTTGGGGTTTAAACTCCATTAGGTGTGATTTTTTTTCTCATCAGTCAATTAATTTTGCAGAGAGGGAGAAGTTAGGAAAAAGAAATGCTAAATGGATTCGTCTCCAGAAAATACACCTCAATCTTGTGCTCAGAGATATTTTTTCTCATTTGTCCTCTTTTGTCCCCGCCATCCACTCACTTTTCTTTTTTAAACCAATATGCTAAACTCAAGAAGTAATCCCCACAACAAAAACCTGCCTGGAAGGGAATCTGAGTTTGAGTAAAATTTTGCTTTGGCAAACAGTTCCGTTGTCCCAACGTGGAAGCTCATTTACCAAGGGCATCGACCACCCTCAGAGAGAATATAACTTTCCTCCAGTACTTACCTGTCTGCTGAGAGAGCCGTGAGTGTGAAGACAGACACCCCCACGGAGGTTAGCTGTATAAAGGGGATCAGTTTGCAGCCAATCCTGCCAAACAGCCATCTGTCGGCCAGGTACCTGCTGGCATCCACGGGAGCGCATGTTACCAGGAGGAGCAGGTCTCCCAAAGCCAGACTGGAGATGAACAGGTTCGGCACGTTTCGCATGGACTTCACGGTACAGAAGATCTTGATCAGGGTGATGTTGCCAATGAGGCCTATCAGAATGATGACCCCATAAATTGCAGGGATGACATAGAGGATCCCCGGGTGGAACCAGTCGTCGTTCATGGGGAGATCCGCACTGTGATTGGAGACGTTGCAGTGCACGAGATGGTCCACTTCCAAGTTCAGAAGCAAGCAATCATTTAGAGCCATCCTCTAGATTCTTTCCCACCTAAAAAGTGCCCTTAGATGCTGTTTCTTAACTTTTGATTTTGCAATTGGGTGAAGATGAGACTACAATCTATGCTGGGCTCTTTATCTTCTGTAATAAAATGCTCTGCGTACATATATACTATGCATTCAAAAGTGTCACTGTTTTGATGCTGGTGCTGCCCCGGCCCTCACATGACCAATGCAATACATCTCTAAATTCAATAAGTTAACAACAAAAACTCAGCCAAAAAGGGCTTAGAATTAAACCCACTCTGTATCAACTCTTCCTAGCTCCATTCTAGTCTGAGTCTCCCTGGCTGCAGTTACCTAAGAACTTTTGGCCTGCTATTTTCACACGGCATTTCCTGTCTTTCCTGATACTTAGAACCTGAAGGTTTAAAGTGGGTAGAAAAACACTGCACTGAGAAAGCCTCAAATCCTATAGGCAGGATGCTTTGTGCGTCACTGACTTCACTAGCAAACGGCAGCTCGACTGAGCTGAGGCTCTGAAGAGGAACCAGGGCTACTTAAACACAGAGAATGCCAGCCCCCTGCTGGACACTTCAATCACTGCCCAGTCGCCTGCTCTCCCCGGATGAGAATCGACCAGCAGACTGCAGTTCCTACATCTACACGGCTTAACAGATGCCTCCGGTGTCTCACTTAAGATGCAGCACCTGTGGTAGGTATTTAGTAAGTGTTGCTAGCATTCTGTAAAGGCACTGGAAATCTTTCTGATACTATGTCCATGAATCCAGATGGGACTCACATCCCATTTTCTCATCTTTTCCAATACATTAGAATGACATGTTAAGGTTGCTATAAAATGAGGTCTGTCTCTGAATTACATGCACACCGATGCACAGGGTGTCCACGTGTGAGCTGTCCCACTCAGCCTTCCCACCGCCTCTGAACGAGGACTGCTATTGAGGAAAAATAGGCACAGGACTCGTGCCTTAAACTTTCAGCAATTGACATCTGGAAAAAACCGGAGGCATAACGCACACATGCTCTTTCCCATAGATTTGCCAGGCCATATCTGTTCCCTTTACCAGGGAGAAATTAAATCGGGAGCCAGCTGTATTCTTAACTCTCAATGATCAGTAGTCTTTTCCAGAAAAATGGGTCTTTTCTCATTGGATCTAAAAATTACATGAATTGGCATTTTGATGCAGTTATTTGCAATTTTTCACTGAATGGTTGCCACAGTTTATAGCAAATTTCCTCTTAAGTCTTGAGTGGGAAATGAACTTAAAGGAGTCACAGCTAGAATACCGAGGAATTGGCGAGTAGAAAGAAATAACTTAGAGTTGACGGGGTGCTAGGAAAGGCTTTATTGAGGAGGTACTATTCGATTTGAGCTTAGACCTTTAGCCAACAACTTATAAATACACTACAAGGGTGTATCTTCAAGACATATGTGGAAACAGCTCTTCCAGGTACATCACAGGAAGCCAGTTACCAACAGGCATTGCCATTTGAAGGTTTGGTTTTTCAGGATCCATAAGGAATAGAGAAGCTTGCACTTATCACCATGCCAGGACCCACCACGAAAACCTTCAAGTGTATTGTCATGGAAATTTCCAGTGGCGGTCTACAACACTGGCTGCCATGCTCCGTCCATAAATCCAAAGGGCTTGTGCTCCTCTCAGCCAGCAGTAGAGAGTCTGATGCTGCATGCCTGGATGGGGAAGAGCTTCTCAGTGGAGACCAGTATCACCAGTAATGAGTCAGTAACCACAAGCCTAGTGGTGTTGATTAGTTACTAGCAGAATAGCTTAATAATGCAGTATATGGGTTCTGTGCTGAAATCCTGGCTCCCTCATTTATTGCCTTGGCGAGTTACTTGCTGTCTTAAGCTTCGAGCTCCTCATCTGTAAAGTGGGGATAATTAGTGAAGTTAAATGAAATTATCCATATTAAGACTTCATAGTATTTGGCACATAGTAAGTGTTCAATTAATATTAGCTGCTATTACTATAACTATTATTATTGTTGTGATTGAGAGAGATTATTGTTGTGATTTTACTTTGGAAAAGCCCAATAAGGTCTGAAGAGCAATCGACCTTGGATCAACAGGCCAAAGATCCTACTCATACAGGTGAATCAGCAACTCCTCCATTTACCTGAAAGACATTTCTTGACCATCTACCAGTTTCCAGACACCGTGTAAGAGCCTGAGAAAAATAACATGAAGATAGTTGTTTGTATAAGACTCTTCATGATCCCAGCTACTCAAGCTCATAGTCAGAGGACGTGGTTTCAAAGAATAACACAAGAAGGGTTTTCACGTAGATCCCGCAAACACTTTTGTTTGTTCTATACTGGATCAATAATTTTGCTTCTCGAAATTGCTGTGGTGGCTTTCTTCTCTGCTTATTTACCTTTCTTCTTCTCAATGACAATGATTGTTTCTGGCATTGTTTTTGTCGTCATTACTGGAGGGATAGTCTTGTATGAATTATGCTGAAACTGAGAGGAATTCACCACTCTCTCAGAGGAATTCACCACCACTAGCGAGGCATTGAACTGCCCAGGATCATCCTGAGGATTTCAAAACAGAGGCAGCAACAGCCAGCACCTGACTATAATATTATATTAAACCTAGATATCTTTGGACCTTTCAACCTTTTGAAAGTTCCTTGAGTATTGTTTAAATAAAAATAAACTCTGGCTTCTTAAAAAAGAAAAAGTCACAGCAATTTAGACCCCATCCCCTCTCTAGAACGAAGCAACTACCTTTTCTCCAGAGAAGGTGACATTTGATCTTAAAGGTTGAGTAAGTGTTTGGCAGGACCTTTTGAACAGAGAAAATAGTATGTGCCTAGGATAGAGTCATAAAGGAAAGAGCATGGTGTTGAACAGGGGACAGCTATAAGTCCAGAAAGGCCATCCAGATTGGAAGAGAGGAGGCAGGGAAAGAGCAAAGTGAAATGCAGCTGGAGGCAAGCTTGGGTGAGATTGTGATGGATCTTGTATTCTTGTTAAGAAGTTTGATCTAGAGGGCTTATTTTTGGTACACAAAGAGGACTCCTGGATGTTGTTTCCCTTTATTTCTTTAGGCACCCCTGTGTGCTGAGTCAGCCTCACTTCTTAAATCCAACTGGGCCATTAATGTTTCTTCCCATGTAAGTTAAGCTGATGCTGATAGATATTGATTTCTCATGGCTGGTGTTAGCATTACGTGTTCCACAGCACTATAGACTGTTCTAACGGTATTTTAGGAGTGAAGATACATTGAGGTTCAACGCCTAATATTTTCTGGGAGCAAGGATGTTTTAAAAAGCTACTTAGAGAATTTTGATGTCATTTCAACTAATTAGCCATAACGACTCTTTCCATTCTTACCATTATGTGTCACCTTCCGGCAGATCACCAAACATACTCAGACATTTGCTTAGCTTTTTCTTTAATGGTGAGCATAAGATGCCTTTGACATGTGAAAATGACATGGAACAAATATAATACAAAGTCCCTATCCTCAGAGACTCCAGTTTCCGAATAGAATTGGAGTGTGACTCAGCATCCTTTCTTATGTGTCAGGGCAGGGATGTCACTTCTACTTCTATTTCAGTCAAGAGAGTCACATTTTCCATTCTTCCAGAGAAGTGGATTTTCTGTGGGACTTGAATATGAAGGGGGCAGTGACCTGGTAGAATTTGGGAGGATGAGTGGACTCAACAGGACCAAAGAGAGTCTCTTCCCACCAGCTATGTGCATGGCACTGTGTCTTCCAGTAGTTGGCATTCTTGGTAGAGTGACAACAAACATACACAGACAAGATAAAGTTATAGAGTGGGTAGCATTTGTAGGTAGAACCGGAGCAAAGAGAATGGGATGCTCTGGGTCTGTTTGAGAGACAGTCTGCCTAGAACAAAGATTTGGAGGGGAGTAATAAATGAGAAATAAAGGAGACTGGATCTGCTGGGGAAGACTTTACATTTAAGGTTTCAGGTTGGACTTTAGCCTATAAGATACTGGTTCATAAACAATCATCAAGATTGCCTGGGGTGCTTCTTAAAAATGCAGACTCTGAGGGCCTACCCAGACCTACCAAATCAGAATCTCCAGGGATGGAACCTAAGAATCAGTATTTTCCATGAAGTCCCCAGTGGATTCCAGCACTCTGCTCTGCTGGGGACCAATGATGCAGGTAGTGTGCGATCCAGAGATCATGACACCGTGACAGTACTTGTGCTTTCCCTTCTGCAGAGTGAGAGGGTGAGCAAGGAAGCACATTTAGGAGATTGTTGCAGTGGACCCTTTCTACCCAAAGTGTGGTCCTTGAGCCAGCAGCATGGGTATCACCTGAGAGCTTGTTAAAAATACAGAATCTCAGACACGACCCCAGATTTCTGAATCGTAATCTGCATTTTAACAAGATTCACGTGCACATTAAAGTTTGAGAAGTGCTGATCTAGGCATTAGTGAGATCTGACTGAAGAGGTTAAGAAACCAGGACAAGAACTGGGAACAGATACGAAACTGGAATCTCAAGTTCAAAATAGAACAAGCAATTGGACCAACTTGAAGCTGAATGAAGAACCACTGAATTGGGGTTTTTGATATCCCTGATAATGGCTGGGAAGTATCCCAGACTGCATGGCAGGTAAGCTGTTTTTGCCACAATACAGGGGCAAGAATCCCATTACAAATGTAGGGAATACAGGCAATGGAGAAGCCCAAGGTGGTGAATTTTTCTTTTTAGGCTCATGACTCAGAGACTAAAGAGCAAGGCAAGAGGGAAGCCACTCTGGAGGGAAATGCCGCATCTGGTTTTAGGCATGTTGACTTCACTATATGAATAGGGGAAAGTAAGGTAGTCAATGGAAATGAGAGCTGAAGTCTGAAGGCAGAGAGGTCAATGATTGAGAGGACTGCCTGAGCACTAGGACGCCGAATGCCAAATAGTTCAAATGTGTAGAGGAAGGCTCGCTGAGAATCAAGTGAAGTTAGGCTTTAAGGAGAAGGTCATATGGTGAAAGTCAGTGGGTACTGAGCATGATTCCAGTATTATATTTGTGACAGCACCGTGGAGAAGCTGCTGAAAGGATTGCAGCACCCCTTGCATGAGAAGAATCAGAGATGTCAAATTTTCGTGCTGCAGCAGGAACAAAAGACACAGATGACTATATCCAGATCCTGCAATGTTGGGATCATTTCAAGTTCCCTTCTCTTAAGCTTCTGTGACTTTTCATGGGGTTTGGAAACTTAGAAGAGAGATAGGGGGAGTCTTTGGAAAGAAAGAGTCAAGTTTCATTTTGAGCCACATGAAGCTGCAGAAGTAAATGTAGATGCCCAGAGAAAGCCTAGAGAGGAAGACCGAATTCTCAGTTAGACACAAGGCTAAGCGAGCACCTGGTATGGTGGTTTTAAAATATATCCACCAGTTCTTGGTACTCTTTCCTTCTTGAAGTGGAGATTAATTTCCCTCCCCTTGGGTGTAAATTGCACTTAGTGACTGGCTTCTAACAAATAGAATAAGGCAGCAGAGATAGTATGTAACTTCCATGATTAGATGACAAAGGACATTGCAGCTTCCTCCGTGCACTCCCTTGGCTCACTTGCTCTGAAGGAAGTCAGCCACCATGTCATGAGGACACTCAAGTGACCCTATGGACAGGTCCACATGGTGAGGAACTGAGGCCTCCTGTCCAAGCTATGTGAGTAAGTCACTTTGGAAGTGGACACTCCAGCCCCAGTCAAGCCTTCAGATGACTGCAGCCCCAGCTAACATCTTTTTTTTAATTTTTTATTTATTGCAGTAACATTGGTTTATAACATTGCAAAAATTTCAGGTGTACATCATTATACTTCTATTTCTGCATAGATTATATCATGTTCACCACCCAAATACTAATTAAAACCCATCACCACACACATGTACCGAATTATCCAGCTAACATTTTGACTACAATCTCAAGAGACACTCTGAGCTAGAACCACCCAGTCAAGCCATGCCCAAATTCCTGATCCACAGAGATTGTGAGTTAATAAATGTTTTTTGTTTTAATCCACTTTTTATGGTAAATCGTTATGCAGCCATAAATAACACCTGGTAAGTAGAGTGGATAGAGAGGGGAAGAAAAGAAAATCACCAAAAAGACAAAATAAAACAGAAAAGAAATAGCAGAAAAGGCAAGTGCTATAAACCTGAATTGAACCTTGAGTGGTCAGATGGGGTGTGAGGGAAACGAAAGTATGGTCAAATCTAAGAAAAGTTATGGAGACTGAAATCCATTTGTTATTCAGTAACATCAAAGTTTCTTATCTATATAAAATATATGTATTTTTAAAATATTATAAATGAACTGAACTTTCTTGCCAGCCACCATATACCTGGAAATGAGAAAATTTATATTCCATTTCACCATTTGCTCAGTGAGCTTGGGCAAGTCAAATCAATTCATGAACATTATTTGCCACCAAACTGTTCTGTGCCATGGATTCTCCCTCTATAAAATACAGGGGCGGGCTGGCCCTGTGGCTTGGTGGTTAAGTGCGCGCGCTGCGATGCTGGTGGCCCGGGTTCGGATCCCGGGTGCGCATTGAGGCACCACTTCTCCGTTCATCCTGGGGCCGAGTCCCACATACAGCAACTAGAAGGATGTGCAGCTACGACACGCAACTATCCACTGGGGCTTTGGGGGGAAAAATAAAATAAATAAAATCTTTAAAATACAGGGGCATTTTCCCCTTGCCTATGCTCCAACAACTTGAGGCATTAGTACCACCCAGTGGCACCTAAGGCAACAGAGAGTGGCACCTTTGCTCTACCCTCAGCCATCTCTCTTTCCAGCTCTTTCTTCCTCTCTCCTGGGAGAATTCAATCAGTGCACCCTTAGACCCTCTGAAACACATCCCTGTATTATTTCTACCTCTGATAACAGATCTGACAAGACAACATGTTGCTAGGATGGATTCCTTTTTAAACATTTTATTTTGAAATAATTTTAGGTTTATAGAAAATTTCCAACAATTGTACAAAGAGTTCCCATATACCCTTCACCCATTTTCCTCTACTCTTGACATCTACAAAACCAAGAAATTAGCATGGGTACAATACTTTTATCTAAACTATAGACTTTATTCAGATTTCACCAGTTTTTCTACTACCGTCATTTTCTGTTCCAGGATCCAGTCCAAGATACCACACTGCATTTAGTCATCATGATTCCTTAGTTGCTTATCTGTGACAGTTTCTCAGACTTTCCTGTTTTTCATGATCTTGACACTTTTTAGAACATCCCTCCATTTGGGTTTGTCTGATATCTTTTCATTACGAGACTGGGGATATGAATTTTTGGGGATTAAAATGATCGATGTGAGGTGCTGTTCTCATCACATCATATCAGGGGATATGTATTAGTTGCTGCTGTAATAAATTACCATGAATTTAGTGGCTTAAAACAACAGAAATGCATTCTCTTACAATTCTAAAGGCCAGAAGTCTGAAATGAATCTTACAGGGCTAAAATCAAAGTGTTGGCAGGCCTTATTCTTTCTGGAGTCTCCAGGGAGAATTGTTCCTTGCTTCTTCCAGCTTCTGGAGGCTCCCAGCATTCTTTGGCTGGTGGCCGCATCGCTCCAATCTCTGCTTCTGTCATCACGTTGCCTTCTCTTCTTCCATAGTCAAATCTCTCTCTGCCTCCCTTTTAGAAGGACTCTTGTGATTACACTGGGCCCACTCAGATAATCCAGGATACTCTCCCCACCTCAATTGCATATGCAAAGTCCCGGTTGCCATATAATATAGTCACAGGTTCCAGGGGTCAGGACCTGGATATCACTGCGGGCCATTATTCAGCCTACTGCAGGCTACGTGATAGCCACATGAGTTATCAGTGGTGATGTTAACTTTGATCCCTTGATTAAGGTGATGTCTGTCAGGATTCTCCACTGTAAAGTTGGGGGGATAGGTTCCTTTTTTTTTCTTTGTGAGGAAGATTAGCCCTGAGGTAACATCTGTTGCCAATCCTCCTCTTTTTGTTGAGGAAGATTGGCCCTGGGCTAACATCCATGCCCATCTTCCTCTACTTTATATGGGATGCCGCCACAGCATGGCTTGATAAGTGGTACATAGGTCCGCTCCCAGGGTCCGAACCTGTGAACCTCAGGCCACTGAAGCAGAGCATGTGAACTTAACCACTAGGCCACAGAGCAGGCCCCTAGGTTCCTTTTAATTACTAGAAATATGACTGTGCTCACACCTAAAGTAATGATGTTGACATTATGTAGCCATTCAACACCACTTCATTAAGTGCCACTCCCTGCCAGACCCACTTCTAAGCCCTGGAAATATAAAAATTAACAATCAGTGGTCCCTACCCTCAAGGAGCTAATTGCCTAACTAGGACAATGTTTTTGATTTCTTTAAAGAAACCTAGTTTATAAATACAAACAAAAGCTTTCCTTTTAAATGATCTGGTCACTGCTTCAGTGATGATCTTTGATTGTATAGAGAGTTTCAGGTCATGTGAAAATGGAAACTAATTTTCTCATAGTTTCTGAAGTATAATTGGACTTTCTGTGACTATTTCCCACTTTTATATGCTCTCTTGGATTTTCTTCCCAAAGGTGGAGTATTGTCTCACAAGCAAACCAATAAAACCAGCCATCAGGTTTCTCATGAGAAAGTCTGGCTTCTATTTTGTTTCCAGCCAGCTTTATGAAAAAAGCTGGGATGCACCCCCAGACTCTGGGTGCTCATGTAAGTAACGTGAATCTCCACACCCCACATTTCACCCTTTTTCTTTGGCCTGTAAAATAATACACCATGTTCTTCTCTAAGGAAGATGCTAGGAAACAGGATTACCCATAGATTTTTCTCCAGATGCCACTAAAGCACTTCAAACTCAGAGTGGTTCCATGGGAACTCTCACTCAATATAAAAACTCTGTTATTTTTACCGCTTGAAGGAGGCTCACCTTAAATTAACTCCAAGTCACGTCTGAAATATATATCCCATACCAGCTTCTTCAAGTCAAATACTCTTGAAATGGAACAACTGAGAAAGGGAATTTAACATTCAGGTACTGCAGAATCCAAGCTTTCCCTTGCCCCACCACAATATATCAGAGGCAGAATCTTATTCAAATTGCTTATTAGCTGCCTGCCTTTGATGAAGTCGCTTTTAAACTCTCTATGCTTACATTTTTCTTCATATATAAAAGGGATTTAAATGACATGAAGGTTTTCCAACTTTATCTCACAGAGTTGTTGCAAGATTCAAATGAGATGACAAATATGAAGGCACCGAAAAAGGAATAAAGTCCTAGATGATTTTAAGTTACTATGTAGTAAATTACTGTTAATTTTTGAGGTGTCATAATGGTATTGTAGTTATGTTTTTCAAAGTCTTTATCTTTTAGAGCAGGGGTCAGCAAACTTTTTATTAAACGGACAAATAGTAAATATTTTAGGCTTTGTGGACCATAGGGTCTCTGTCTGGGAAAACAGCCAATAAATACTAGGTAAACAAATGGGCGTGGCTGCGTTCCAATAAACTTCATTTATAACACAGTTGATCCATAGGCCAGAGTTTGCCAACTTGTTTCAGATAAGTTTACTGAAATATTTATGGATGAAATGATACAATAGCCAGGATTTGCTTCGAAATCATATGGAAAGTAGAGAAGTGGGTGGAGGCACAAATGAAAGAAGATTGGCCCTGAGTTGATAATTGTTAAAGATAGGTGAAGGGTATGTGGGGGTTCATGTTATGCATCTGTCTATTTTACATATGTTTTAAATCGTCCACTATTAAAGGCTTGTACAATGTCAAAAATGTAATTTATTATTAACAGGATTAATATTAATAATGCCAACCAAGTAACTACACATGTATCTTTGAGGCCTTGGCTGGGTGGCATAAAGTGGATCTTCCCAGAAGGATGGTGGCATCATTCTGGCCATTCAGATATGCATTTCTTCTGTTCTGCATCAATCCAGAGGCCCAAGATTAAAGTGCCATGAAGTGTACATGATTTGAGATGGAATTGATTTCAGAGTAGCCATTGGATCTCAGCCTAGGAAAATGCCTCTTAGATGCAGTGGGGAAATGGACTGATTTGCTTTTTTACTACCCTCTGTCTCTCATCCTTTCTCATTCCTCCTCATGGCCATATTAGTGTATTTTAAATTCTGCTTGTGTCCTAAAGAAGCCAAAAATGTGAGAC